AATAGTAACCATAAAAGAAAAATGCTTTCTTAATTATTTCTCAATTCAGAGATAGCTTGTGTCCTTTGCCACACAGCCTCCCTAATAGCAGAGGTTTGTGTCTGGTGTGGTGGCTGCTGGAGTGCTAGAATCTGGAACAGTGTTCAAGAAACATCTAAATGAATGCTGTAATTAGGTATACATACAAGAAATTCATTGCATATAGAGGAGATGGGAAAAGAGCAACTGATTTGGGGTCTAAAGTCCTGGTATGCCACTCAGTATTAAGAACTAGAAAAACATGTCAGCTAGATAAAATCTTTCTGTCAGCTTATATTAGAAATACACTATGCCTCACACTGCTAATGTGATTACTCAATGTACATGATGGAGAAAAGTGTTGGTTTTGGGTCTCAAAAAATCAGTTCCTAAAAAAAAAATCAGTTCCTTACGTAGAACAGACTGAAACACTGCTCACTCCGGTGCCATCCTCACAGTCTCTGCTATGTCCACACTGTTGTCAATTTCATCTTCTTTGATGACGCTCTACAGAGCATGATGTTCCTCTTCAGGGATTGGTCCATCCTGATGACGTAGCTAAACCACACAGATACAATCCTGCCATCCTTGTTTCTAAGGTGCATTCTGTCTGCCTTTCTTCCAAGACGGGGGATTTGTTGAACATTTTGATTTGGGAAAAGGACAGTGTGAGAAAAAGGTAAAATAAAAACAAAATCTTTTCCCTGTATCTGTGGGACTTTTATATAAGAGAAAGAAGGTTCTAATAACCATTAAAGTAGCCCTGGTGGTACAGTGGTTAAGGCCCGTTGCTAACCCAAAGGTTGGTGGTTCGAACCCACTCATAAACTCCACAGGGAAAAGACGTGGCAATTTGCTTCCATAAGGAAAGCTCAGGTTTCCATAGGAAATTCTGAGGCAGATCTTCTATAGGGTTACTTTGCATTGGAGTTAACTTAACGGCAGGTAAAACCAACATTAATTTTTGAAGGCATGGACACTTAGCTAGATAGGGCTGATCATTAAATAAAGTGAGACATAAAATTAGATCCTCGTTTC